TGGAGCATCCTAGGATGATTTTCGCTGCCTTCATCTGCGCCGCCTCGAGTTCTTTCACTACCTTCTTATTTCCTTCCCATACTTCACCGGCGTACTCTAGCGGCGGTACGATTACGCTCTTCAAAACCGTCAATTTGATGCGTGTATCGAGGTGCCGGTTTGCGAGTATTGGGTGCAACTTCCCTGCTCGTGCTTTGCCCTTTTCCGCTACCTTGGACATGTGTGCATTCCACGAGCAGTCTCCCCAACGCCCCCGTACAACACCCCCCCACCCTCAAACAGTCTCTACTCCGAGGTATGTGCAGAGCTCGTTTGAGGGTGGGGGGGTGTTGTACGGGGGTGTTGGTGAGGGTGGTCGTGTGCGACGCCCACTATGGTTCATTTGTCTGCGGTTTGGTGCCGCATTCGTTGCATCGTGTGATCGAGTTTGAGCTGCCCCTGCTAAATTATTCGGCCTATCGTCCTACTTGATCCGGAGCACCCTCGGCCAGCTCAAAGCAAAACACGGTATTTTGGCATAAAACCAAACGGCGAACGACACCTGTTCTCTCACGCCGCTCATGATGTCGTGTCATTTGGACCCTTTGCCGAAGTTGCCATCGGGGCGGGTGCCGTCATGTACTTTTTCTTAGCTATTCTAATCACAATTGCGTCCTGTATCTCTCATTGAAGAGCACCGACCCATATGCACCCACGAAACTCCTCTGCGACAGTGTCTTCAGTTTCGACGCGAGAAGTCAGTTGATCGATAGGCCACCACATGATCTGTGCGAAGGTGTACCGATTCTGTTAGAAGTCAATCGACGACACCCTGCGAATCGAGTCCTCCTTTACTCTGCACGTGGTACAAAATACTGGGGAAACCGCCATATCCTGTTGTAATTCTAGCTCCCGACCTTGAGTATTATTATAGCTTTCATGGATACATATAGAGCCGGTACGTGTGTCTGTCTTTCCTTGGCACAAAGAAAGCAAGCTGCAGATTGGTTGTGTCGATATCACGCATCATTTGTTGGCTACTTGAGTAGCTAGACAACGACTGAAGTAAAGGTGGGTGTGAGCAAGCAACGTGGTTTATTCCCGAGACGGGATATCAGACTACTGTATATCCGTGGCATTATACCGGGCAACACCCAGGGGCGGGAGGGATTCAGTAGACGGGCGAGACGGTGAGGGAAGACAGAAAACGAGAGAAGGCGGACCGAGTGGCGCGGAATGCTGTGCCGGATTGAACCCTTGATTGACTGTAACCCTCCCCCCTGTACCCGTCCCCCCCCCCCCCCCCCCCCCCCCCCCCCCCCCCCC